TAACATGTTGCTGCCGCCGATATCTACTACTTTGCAGCTCCGCGCGATGTCCCATACATAGCTGGAACGAATGGGAGAGCAGTGGAAATCAACAGTGGACTGGTGGTGAGGCAATGCGCTGGAATGATGTGGAGGTTGAGGGGAGAAAAAATGTAAGCAGAGCGAAATGGTGTGGAGGAGAGGGGGAAAAATGTAAGCAGAGCGAAATGGTGTGGAGGAGAGAAAAAGCTGTGGCAAGGATGGATGTGAGAGAGCGCGTGTTGGTTGCGTGTGTTGTGGGTTTGTGCTGAGGGTACTTTTTGCATTTTGGGTGTTGATCTGTTGCATTGGACAGGTTTCCAGAGCGTTTTGGAAAGCAGATTATCTTGCGTTGGCATCTATACATTCCAATAGTGTGTTGTCAGACTCAGTGGCAGCGAACCGTTGGCGGAACCGTGGTAGTACCCAAGAGCAGGGGGTACTGCACGCCTGTCGGAAGGATACAATGAATAAACACTGTTTCGGCTGATGGCGGCCGTCTGCAGTAGTCTGATTATGCAACTTGTGTGGGACAGCAAGCCTAGAGGCCCTTCTTTTAGTGTCAGGCTCTTCGTCGCACAGGCAAGCAACTTCACGCTCCCAAACAAAAAGTATACTCACAGCATTGCTTACCTGCGTATACCGACAGTAGCATGGATACGATGACTCACGCCACTTCTAGATTGGCTCTAACATTTAAAATACGGTGTACGAGCACCGTAAGAGCTGCAAAGTATTGCTAACTCATACTCGACGCTGCGCTGAGACCGCGACGTGATGATGAAGCATGCGCCTGCTAACAGTAGGAACACACGGGCTGTGCCCTTGTTGTCACATTGTGCTTCATAAACTTGCCATCATCAGGAGGCAAATTCATATGAGTAGTTTTCTGCTCTTTTGCCGTTACGAACAAGTCGATTAGCAAGCCCTGGAGTTTGAGTATCGGCCCATGTAACGTCACTCATCCTGTGCTTGATTCTTATGTATGGCTTGATGGAGTCATGAAACCTGTTGATGCATGCATGGAGAGGAACAGAGGCTCGTTTCACCAGCAGCGACGGCGAGGTGACAGTTTCAATTTTGCAAACCCAACTCTACATACTAGGCGGCGAGAAATGTTCACGTGAATATCTAGGAGTTGAAGAGTCTGACATAACAAGGAAATATATTTTGCTCACCCAGCACTTGCGTACAGCTGGAACCAGCGGACATGAGCACGATGTAGATCATGAAGCTCTCGACAGACTACACGGAACTTCTAGCCCAGGCAGCGCATCAAGCAGACGCTCATATTATCTAGTGAAGTTGTATAAAGTGGCTGTTTCGTGGATACTGGGCTTTTGTGTGTGTTGTGCCGTCATTTTAGTAGCGCCGCCTACTCCACCGTCACCCCCTCGCCATTAACACAAACAACTCGGGGCTACAGCGGTCCAAGGCCCCCAGGCAAGCACGACAAACGAAAACTGAAAACTATTCATTGTTGCTTGAGACAAGCTGAAAACAGTTGACACATTTTGCATCTTTCGGCAGGGCAGTCTGCAGGAGTAATCTGCCCGCTCTCCAGTTGGGGAGTATTACGAGAAAACAGAAATACAGAGGCTAATGACCCCACTTACACATTGTATTACAGGTGCCCAGCTTCTGTTTTCCTCTCAAATTAGGGAATGAATGACTCAGTTAAGCGGTGGCATATAGGCATCCCTCCAGCTTGAATGATCCTCAAGTGCGTGGCCTTGACCTTGACCGTGACCTCCCGTTTCTTAGGCATCGCGCCGTCGGTAGCCTATACAACATCTTCACTCCAACATATATCTCTTTTTAGCGCTGCTCTATCTGCATTCTCTAGCGGCTTCCGGCGACAGCGAAGCGCCACTGCCGCTAGCCTCCGTGAGTTGCACAACTCCCCCATCTCACCTCTGGAACGTAACAACAACGATTTCCGCCGCTATAGAGAAATGAAACGTGGGAAGGCCAAGGAAGTAAAGGCAGAGCCCAAAGTGGACGCCACCAAAGACGGAACTTTTCCAGAGGATCCTCGGGCAAAGAGAAAGCATGGAGGTGCGGCCTAGGACGCTTTTTTATGGCCACTTTAGCGGCAGCTGCGTTTCCTTTATTTTACCGGAGAAGTCTAAGTGCCAATGACTTGATGATGAGAAAGTGCGAGGATGTGTGCCCTTGTGAAGCTGTGTCCAATGCGCAGAAGCCAAAGTGAAGCCAGGTGATGAGCAGCTGGATCAGGACCAGCTGCTACAAACTGAACCCCAGAGCGGTAACGTTGCTGGAGCAATAGACAGGACGGGAGAAATGGAAGAGAAAAGTGAGACGAATGAATCCGTGCCCACTAAGGACATTCATGTTGCAAAGAAACGACGGGGGGCTCCCAAGGCTCGGGCTAAAGCCTCTGCTGGGAAAAGAAGTGCAACAGCTGAAGGCGCAGCGAATGGAGTTCTAGAGCCAGATGAAGAGTACACTACACTGGCGAATTCGGCGGCCAAAAGCCGAAAATTCGTAGGGGCCCATATTTCTGCAGCAGGAGGGGTGCACAACGCGCCTCTTAGCTGTTTTAACGTAAAGGGTAAGCGTTCTGTTTCCTGCTCAGTTTGAACCAATCACTGCAATTTGCCCAGTAACGTTCTTTTGCCTAGTCACTTCCTCAAACGCGTACAGCTAATTGTGTGGGTGGACTCCTAACGTACGTAGATTTGAACACAACAGGACAGCCAGAGAAGCGCTTGCCGCCTAGGGTCTTGGACTGCACTTCTGCGGTTGTCCCTCTTGTGATGCTTGAAATCAGGCCAGGCCTTTGCACTTTTCCTGAAATGCCAGCGGAAATGGGTCTCCCCACCATTGGTAAGGCACTCAAAAACTAGGAGCTCAAGTCTTCGACGCGGGTCCGGTTCCTTTGCTTCCTTCTAATCCGTCGTCCTTGGCATATGCCAGCGAGTAAGGCTTTACCTGTGTGAAGCGCTGCGAGCAACGCATTCAGGCGGATACGGCTATCGCTGGCTTTAAACTGCGGTGTGATAGTCTAAAAATGGACAAGGATGTACAGGTCCTACCTCATGGTAGTTACCTGATCAATGTAGCCAATCCAGGTGCGGTACAGGAGGTTCAACTGATACGCCTGTTGCTGCTGCATGTAGTCGAGGATGCACAAGGCGGAAGCGTAATGTTGAAGTCCTCATTGGTATATCGGCCGGCAGCAAGCGAGACGGCTTATTGATCATATGCGTTGCAGTTTTAGCGCCAGCGTGCCTCCTCTAAGGCTGTTGAAGGGTTCCAGGAACAGGCAAATTACCGCTTAGTGGAAGCATGCGCACTTCCGCTCTGCTCGTATGATTTTCGGTGCACAGACAAGGCCAAGCAAGAAAATGCTTACAATGCTCTTCTGGACGATCTACAGCGTTGCGAGGCTCTGGGCATCAAGCTCTACAACATCCATCCAGGTCTGCTGCTTTCCCAGAACGTGTTCTTGCTACATATTTGGGGATAACTGGCAGCATTCATCATATCAAAACCTGGCTAAGAGGATTCCTTTTCTTTGTGGCCTCCTCCTTTTTCTTGCCTGCCCAGCCCTTCGCTTATTTAGTGTTCCTGAGCCAAGACAGCATTGACCTGCACTAAATAAGCGGTTCTGCAGTGGCCCAATGTGCCAATGTGACCACAGGTTCAACTGTCGGTGAATGCAGCAAGGAAGAAGGAATACGCAACATTGCCGTAAGTACCTGGGTCGTGTTGTTCGCCAAAATCGCGTTTTATTCATAGATAAGAAAACTGCTTTTCTACAAAAGAGACGAGCGGCTTTTCCATCTTCTTAGTTGTGGCTTTATCCGCCGATCCTTCAGGCCGCAGTTAACAGGGCCCACAAGGACACAAAATTTGTTGTTGTTGTGCTGGAGAACATGGCGGGGCAGAAGAACGTTGTCGGTAGCAAATTCGAAGACCTGAGGGACATCATCGAACTGGTGGAAAACAAAGATCGTGTACGTTACAATGTGAACTTAACCCGCTTGGTTGTGATTCGATCCACGTTAGTTTATCACAATACTGGTACACAAATGCGGTACTTGGATGATATTTTTTCTACTTAGGTGGGAGTCTGCCTTGACACTTGCCATCTTTTCGCAGCAGGTGCGGCGACTCACATGAAGATAAATTGGCTACACTGAGGGTCCTTCCTCATGCGCGCCTGTGCAGTACTACCTTGTATTTCAGCCCAGCCAAAACACAAGCAGTCTTCAATGAGTGGCTAGAGTTGGAGAGCTTGTCTGCTAAACAGAAAATGTGGTTGAGGTGGTGCAGGATATGACATCCGCACGCCGGAGAAATTCGAAAATGTGATGAAGGAGTTCGACTCCATTGTTGGCTACAAGTTCCTCAGAGGGATGCACTTGAACGATTCGAAGTCTGAGCTCAGCTCAGGACTGGATAGGTAGCGCATGCACGCGCCACAACAGACCCACAGTCCATATATTCACGGCAAGATTAATTCCCTGACTTGTTCGCACATGTTCCTGGCTAGCGCTGCATTTGCTTGCTGGCTTAAGCAGGACTGCTTAGCTTCACTTCGACGTATTGTGAGAATATTCTGGACGAAAGGCGTAATGCAACCGCCCTTGTTTGCAAGACAAGCCATATAAAGGCGTTTGGATTTTGTCAGCCACCGTAACCCTCGAATTGGGAATGTAGCTACCGCTAAATAATGTGCTTTGTACGTACTTCTTGTTCCATCGCAGGCATGAGCTGCTTGGCAAAGGTCACCTAGGGCTGGCACCGTTTAAGTATATCATGCAACACCAGACACGATTCAAGGACATGCCGCTGATACTAGAAACTCCAGACCCAACGGAGGGCACAATATGGAAGAAGGAGATCAAGCAGATGTACAGCTTCTTGAATGAGGAGGAGGAAAAATGAGCGGCAAATCGCCGCTGACGAGGCGCTCGTGCCTTTCTGTGTACACTCTACGCTGTGAAGTCCCGTGTGTGACTTCCGTGTAATGTGCACATGCTCGTGCGAACACCGTCCTCACGGTCAAAGCATGCATCAACGTGCATGCTGAAGTGCCGCGTATAAACCCTAAACAAAGTCTGCTGAATACTTGACTGCCTGCTGGGGAGTTCTGACAGATCTATACACCCCACCGACGCGACACGCCTATACAGCTAGTTCTTCCGTGGTTATACACTACGCAGGGCCCCTGTTTACCTCTTAAAAGATTTCCTCCCCTGAGTTGCTGCTTAGCTTGACAGTGAAATGGCTAAAACATACTCTGTCAAGCGTAGTACTAAAACTCCATGGCCTACGAGCAATGTATTCATTACTTTGAACACGAGCGCCAGAAATGCAAAAGACTGTCGGCCCATTTTGAACGCATCCGGTTGTGTTGTATGTTTGACGCCGCGCAGCGGCGCCAACTGTGATGCAGCTCACCGGGCCTCAGCACCTGACTCTGTCTATAGAGTGGCCTAGCTGCCGGCCCTAGGAGGCAGCACAGCTGCAGCGACCGCCGCTGCAACGGGCACAGCTTACGCTGATGAGGGAGCCACACACTGACGGGCAATAACGTCCAATTCCTTCTGCCCCATCTTTGTCAAGCGCCTGCCGCTGCAGCACGACACAACAGGAATGCGACAACGCAGCATAAAGGCGCAGCATAAAGGCGCACCGCCTGCGTGGGCCCGCTGCCCATGCATGGCACACAGACCCAACACGGCAGTCTTGATACATGTAAAAGGCTCACTTGTCAGGCCGTGACTCGACAAGGCCCATGGTCTCAAACTGCTGAAGAATGTAACGGATGATCTTCCCGCTGGCCTGCACAGCAGATAAGCAGGAAAGCATCGAGCCAAGTCATACGCGAAAGTACTTAAAAAGCCATCCTGGTTAGGAACAACGGCAACACAAGTCCCCCTATCCTGTACTGGTTCCGTTCGGCGTGACGGCCCGCACATTAACAGTTGAGTAGCGCAGCTGAAACGATGTATCAAGTGTTCTAAAGCAGAAGATGGCACAGCAGAGACCCACGTCAGAAGCAAGCTCACCTTGCTGGTGTGGCCAGGGCTGCACTTCTTGCCAGTTTTGCAAGAAAACACTTTTCTAAAAGCCCCCACGCCGCAGCTTGGGCGGAGGTACAGATGACGCAGGATAGCGGCAGCGCGCTTGAATATCCAATCAGGGTCGTGGGGAGCCAAGCTTTTTCCCTGGGCCCAAAACATAACAGAAACATCATATTTCCGACAACCCGGTGCTCTAAGCATCATTATTGAAACATCCTCGACAGTAGAAAAAGTGCAATCAGCGGTTGGCAACAGTGCGTGCCAAGAAGCTTACATATCCTGTCTTCACCAAATCCGCCCACATGGGGACCTGGAATTTGCCCCTCTTCTTCAGGTGGTTTGCATAGGCCTCAATAAACTTCTGGGCTGTCACATCCTTCACAGTGTACACATGGGTGGGCCCGAGCCCAAATCCTTCGAGAAATGCATCCATCTGAGACAGAGAGGACAAAAATAGAATAATAAAACTTACGCCGGCTTGCAGTTGACGTCCTGTGCAACATTCTGGAAGGCCAAAGCCCCATACGCCGTTTTGAAAACAATGGCACCTTCCACAGAAGTAATATGCTCCCGAATGAAGACAGCACGTACGGTAGAGACTGCGACTGGACAAGAATAGCGGGGTGAATTATGCGCTAGTCACCCACTGGCCGCGGTGCCTGCTACACTATCACGACTGGATGAAGCGCAGAACGCTCCGATGCAATACCCCCCGCAAGACCATTTTTGCCAGATAGAAAGCAAGAGGACGAACAAAATGAGGCGAAAAGAGCCATACAGCATCGTCCTAGGAGGAAGAACACTCCCAAGCACTCCGCGCCAGGGAAACGAGACCAAGGACCAAACCGGCAGCACCATCGAGACTTTCCCCCCCCCGAAAGATGCACAAACAGATGCATTGAACATAAATGGCATTTCCCCTGAGCTAAAAATTAAAAAAAAAAGCCCTGGTTAAGGCCCCACGACCCACGACAGCTGCTCAGCTTTGGAGTACTTGGTGCTGTTCTGCCATGAGGGAAAAGGTTTTGCTCACTTTGCGAGGATCCTTCGGGGCTCCAACGAAATTTAAATTCGCAAAATGAAAAGGAGATGCTGCTTCGAAGGGCTGGCTCCTGGTACCTCCGACGAAGTTGTGCTGGGCTGCTACCATATTTGCCGCCACCCCCCACAGGAGTCCACCTGCAGCCCCAGTGCAACAGCGTTCGACTTTGCGTAAAAAGACGCATTCAAGAGACCTGCTTGTCGTACGACGTTGCCCGATTCTTTTTACTACGAAAAATAGCCGAAATTTACCAATTAATTAATTACTCAGTAAGTATCTTTTCTGTTCCCCTCGAACTCTTTCTTTAAGGATCTTTCTCTCACTTCGACAGCCCCACGGAGTCATCGTTGTGTCAAAACAGCTGGTCACGTTTGCTACTCTCCTAGACTTTCTCTCAATTGCCAGGTTTGAAACTTTACGTACGTGTATTTGACACACTCTTTACTTTCTACATCCTCTGAAAGACTCCAGTCCTCGCTCAGACAGAGGAGCAAGAGTGAAGCAGTCACCGCTCACTGGCGTGGTTTCCTGACATATGACGAGCACTGCGCCTGCGTAGCTTCCGAAGCGTCTCTGAATCATATTTTCTGACGGAATTGTAATAATAGAAGGACATTGACTGGCGCTCAAATGGAGCAAATATGAATCGCGTTGGACGGGCTTGAGTGTCGAGCTGCACACAAGGAGGCTCCAAACTAGGCAGTGTGCTTCTTGGGAAGAGCCTGCCTTCTCCATCACATGACACATTTTTGACGCATCGGCTTCATGAGTTTCCTGTTTCCGGGCTGGCAAAAGCCTTGCTCCATCGAGTCCACAGCAATCGACCGCTGGGAACTGAATTCATAGAATGCCGCGTTTGCCATCCGACGACGCCAGGAACATTCACTCGAGCTTCGCCAGCGGAATGCGCAACTTTCTGTCTCGAGGAGCATCGAATAGAGCCGCCCAGCGCGCGCGTCGAGGTGCTGACACAGGCGCCCATAATCAGCAAACGCCAAATAACGCTATGAACTCTCCTACATCTGCACCAGAAGATGAGGGAATACGCAACTCTCATGAGGACGCTGACCAGAGCAGCATTGCCACTGGGGTTGCGACCGCTTTGTTCCAGCGCCACCAGAGCCAAGATTCTATCTTCGTTCCTTCGAAGTACCGTTTCCCTGCTCCCACAGCTGTCTCAGTCCCAGCTGTGTGGTCCTGGCAAATGGGGCAAGCTGACTGGGTGCCTTTTGACGTTCAAGTTATGGAGTTACTTGAGTCGCTTTGGGCTCACATGCAAAGCCAACAGCAGCAGCAACAGCAGGACGAGCCGCCTCACGAATTAGTGGAATCACTTGAGGAAGCACAAGAACTTTTGCAGACGCAGGAACAGCAAGACCAACCGCAGGAGGGACAGTCACAGCATGGAACGGTGCGTGAGATTGGAGAGAGTGACGATATGACCTCACCGACAGCGGCAACCTCTCAAGCACGTCTGGAGCAGAGCCACAAGGTGTACGCACATATCTCGCCGTGGCAGTACTGCCTAGACTTGGGCAAAATGACTCAGCAAAACCTGGCAACCCGCAGAGTGAGACCTATTCGAAGAAATGTTGAGTCTGTGGGCTTGTGGTTTGCCAAGGGCTCTGACGGCCACGCAGAGAGGTGCGCCATGTGTTTGTTACCCAGCGAAAGCGATGGAGGGGAGTACTAGGAACAAAAAAATAGACATACTCTTTTAGTGTATCAATTTTTACCTGTAATTCGCAAGTGAACCTAACAGCGACAGGACAACAGGCGTTGTTGGGCTTGCGGAGTGTGGCGGCAGACACGTTGAAGTACGCATCTCATGTGCCAGGCGTTTCGAAGTGCGTAGGCTAGCAGAGACCCTCTTAAAATGTACAGCTCACTACTGTTAATTTGCAGTTGTCTTTCAGGCGTTGTTGAACACTCTCAGGTTTCCTCCGGAGGTGGAAGTACACCTAGAAGCACTATGGAAGGAGTCATTGCAAGGCGTGAGGAACCCTAGCGCGTTCGTGCTGACCTGGGAGAATCAGCGTACAGGGCATGTTCATTATACTGACATCATCACAATGCGGGAGAGCTTCAATACCGGCAGTCAGAGAGAGGCAAGATTTTGCTGCTGCGTCTCTTCCCAGCTTGCTTCTGAGCTCGTGATGTAATCCTTCGTTGTGGTTGGAGAATATCAAATAGGGTTCACAGTTACCATAGAATCCGCCGTCAATCTTCCAGTTGTTTGATACAGGGCAGCAGCATGCAACCACGGGAGGCTGGTTAATCATGCCCCACTCTAAGCACTTGTTAGGATTTGAGCGCCCACCAGGTGGAGTGCTCGAGTGGCGCATTAGCAGATGAAGGCTGGCATTTGTGTTGCTTCGTAATTCGTGAATGCTTGTGTACACAGATCATGCGCACGGAGCTCGTTGCAGAAGCACCATTGAATGACTCGGCAGAAGCAGTAAAACCTGGGGACTCAAAGGAGCATTCCTTTTCGCTGCCTTCCCTTGAAGTTGGCACTGAAGAATCGGGAGAAGCCATCTGCAAGGGCCATAGGAAGTGGTTAGAGTCTGATGACTTTGATGCTTCCCTAGTTGTAGTAGAAGGGCACGGTCAGTCCATGAATTCTCTAGAATAATACTGCGCACGTTGATAGCTTCTTATTCTAACATCGGTTGCCCACACAGGTAGCCTATGCATATTCAGCACCGCCTGCGCAGAATTCCAGTTCGCATTCAACATGCTGAAACGACTTCGTCGTGCTTCCTCTCGTGCGGCAAGATAAGATGAACCAAACATCCCAGTCGTTTTTGCCTCTTCAACCTGCATGTTTTGTGCAGAGGTTCCTGACGACACGTGCGTCATCTGCCTTGACAATTTGGCGCACGAAGAAACCGCCCCTTCGACGGATGCGCAGCAATCTAAGAAAAAGAAGCAGCGACGCCGATCAAACATGGACAAAGACGAAAAATGCTGCAGTAGCGGAGGTAGCAGCAGCAGGGATACCAAGGATATCAGCGGCACAAGCAGTAGAAACAGAAGACGAAGCAACAGCAAAATTGCTTGCTCTACTATCGCGGCTTCGCCGAACGAGAGCGAAGCCGACCCGTCTAGTAACGCCGACTGCGATATGAACAGTCCACAGGATACAGGGTCAAAGTTTCCTGACAGTAATAAAGAAGAGGTTGTACGTCTGATAAATTGCTCCCACCACTTTCACACCGAGTGCATCCGCATGTACGTACAGAGCTGCACGAAAGGAGGGTTCTACTGTCCGACGTGCAACGTTCTGCAGCTGCCTGGCAACGGCCCTTGCCCACCAGGTGAGCATTGCAGCTCTGTAGTTGATTGTAGTATTACAGCTGCTATTGCAGGACACTAGCTAATACTGCTTCTGTAGTTATTTTTGCTGTTGCTTCCTGGAGAACTATAGCTTCTATTGCTGCTGCAGTTACTTTTGCTGTTGCTTCGCGTTTATGCAATTGTACTATTGTTCTTTGTATGTGGCTCTCCGTGCCACGACACGCTGCTCTTTGCTGGTACGGATTCCAGGGAAGATGAAATGGAGGATATGCAATCGACCTTTACTTGCAGGACACCCAGACGAAGGTGAGGCGGCTGCGGCTGCAACTAAAAACATGTATATGAGGGCAACGTAGTTGCCAGTGCTGCCGCAGCTGTGCTACTGCAGTTTCAGTCGGTGACGTTGGCCTCGCGTTTAACGCTGGCGCAGCTGGTGCAGCTGATGCAGCTGATAAGGAACTAACGTGGTGCTTGACGGCTCAGGGACAATTATTATTGACTATATTGTCAGCGGGGGTATACAGACGGAAAGACATGCTCGACCCAGCATCCCCTTCACTGGAGCGAGGAGACAGGCATATTTGCCGGATTGCTTGATGGGACGGAGACTACTGAGGCTCCTTATTCAGGCTTTTGTCAAGGTTTGAAAATGATGGCTCCGCCTCAATTCTTTCTCTGTTTACTGATATTGCATGTAGCGGAAGCAGCGTAGGATGCTGTGACCTTCCAAAATACAGAGACCTACCGTTATTTGTTACATCCGATAAAATGCTGCTGCTGCTATAGGGTCACATTTTCACTGTTGGCGACAGTGTGACGTCGGGGCAGTCAAACGTGGTTGTTTGGAACGGCATCCACCACAAAACGAGCGTCTCTGGCGGTGAGAATTGTCATAGCACCTGTTTTGCTTAGTTCCTGCGCTTGCTGAGCTGGCTTGTCGGGGAGTTGATGCGTGCATCACGCGTCAACTGGCTCTTCATTTCCCGGTCTGTGTAGGCCTGCACATGAATACATACATCGGCCTCGGGGATACAGCTCTGTATAAAAACTGAGGGACTGTTGTAGTAACAATAACAACGGATGGGGTCATT